CACTTCAACTCAAAAGATAGAAATGATTAAGCTTAGAGAGGAAGCTAGGCCTCTTGGAACAGTTGGCCATGTTGTGAATGCAAGGAAAAGTTCTTTAAAAAAAAATGAAAAATGCTACTCTGGTGGACATACCAGTGATGTCTCAAAAGCAGAACAGCTTTATTGCTGACATGGAGAAAGTTCTAGTGGTCTAGAGAGAGGATCAAACCAGCCATAAGCCATAGCCTAATACAGAGAAAGGCCCTAATTTTCTTCAATTCTATGAAGGCGAAGAGAGGTGAGGAAGCTGCAGAAGAAAAGTGGGAATTTGGTGGAGGTTGGTTCATGAAGCTTTAGGAAGAAGCCTTAAACTTCACAACATAAAAGTGCAAGGTGAAGCAGCTAGTGCTGATGCAGAAGCTACAGTGAGTTATCAAGAAGATCTAGTTAAGATAATTTAGAAAGGTGGCTACACTAAACAACAGATTTCCAATGTATTCATGGATGAAACAGTCTTATATTAAAAGAAGATGCCATTTAGCACTTTCATAGTTAGAGAAGAGAAGTCATTGCCTGGCTTCGAAACTTCAAAGGACAGAGTGACTCTCTTGTTGGCGGCTGATGCATCTGGTGACTTTTAGTTGAAGCCAATGTTCTTTTGTCATTTCACAGATTTTGAGGCCCTTAAGAATTATGCTAAATCTCAGCTGCCTGTGCTTTATAACTAGCACAACAAATCCTGGAAGACAACACGTGTGTTTATAGCATGGTTTACTGACTATTTTAAGCCTACTGTTGAGACCTACTGCTCAGAGAAAAAGATTCCTTTCAAAATATCACTGCTGATACAGTGCACCTCATCACCCAAGAGCTCTAATGGAGATGCATTAATACAAAAAGATTAGTGTTGTTCTCATGACTGCTAACACAATATCCATGCTGCAGCCCATATATCGAGGGGTAGTTTCAATTTTCAGGTCTTATTATTTAAGAAATACATGTTGTAAGGCTAGAGCTGCCATAGATAGTGTCTGATGGATCTGGGTAAAGTACATTGAAAACCTTCTGGAAAGGATCTACCATTATAGATGCCAGTAAAAACTTCAGTGATTCATGAGAGGAGGTCAAAATATCAAGTTTAACAGGAGTTTTGAAGAAGTTGATTCCAACCTTCACGGATGACTTTGAGGGGTTCAAGACTTTAGTGGAAGAAGTAACTGCAGATATGGTAGAAATAGCATGAGAACTGAAATTAGAAGTAAAGCCTGAAGATATGACTGAATTGTTGCAAACTCATGATAAAGCTTGAACAGATGAGGAGTTGCTTCTTATGAACGAGCAAAGAAAATGGCTTCTTGAGATGCAATCTACTCCTCGTGAAGATGTTGTGAACATATCTGAAATGACAACAAAGGATGTAGAATATTACACACACTCAGCTGGTAAAGCAGTGACAGGGTTGGAGAGGATCGACTCCAATTTTGAAAAGTGCTACTTTGGGTAAAATGCTATCAAACGGCATTGCATGCTACAGAGAAATCATTCAAAAAAGGAAGAGTCAATGTGGCAAACTTCATTGTTGTCTTGCTTTAATAAATTGCCACAGTCCCTCCAACCTTCAGCAACCACCACCCTGATCCATAAACAACCAACAACCTTGAGGCAAGACCCTCCACCAGCAAAACGATTATGACTTGCTAAAGGCTCATATGATCATTAGCATTTTTAGCAATAAAGCATTTTGAAATTAATATATGCACATTGCTTTTTAGACATAATGCTATTGCACACTTAATAGATTATAGTATAGTGTAAACATAGATTTTATATGCACTTGGGAAGTCAAAACTTTGTGTTACTCACTTTATTGTGATCTTTATTGTGATATTTACTTTATTGTAGTGGTTTGGAAGCAAACCTGCAATATCTCCAATGCATGTCTGCACTTGGGAAGAATGTGAAAGTAGATTGGAGAAGGATGCTATAGAGGGAAAAGCATAGGCAAAAATGCTAGCATGAGAGCTCAAGCTATGGATGGTGAGGACCCAGCAGTGAGATTGGAAAAAAGGGAAAGAGTTGAAGACATGCCCAAGTAGGATCAGTGATTGAATGTAGACAGTAAGAAAAAGGACACAAACTAAGATAATCCCCAGGTTTTAATTTTCTCTGGCTTGAGCACCTGGGAAGTTGGAGGTGCCATTCTCAAAGAAAAAAATAAGGGGAGGATGAAATCATGCTGAGTTCAGATGGCAATATGATTTTGAGACTCTCACATGGTGATCTACAGCACCAGCACCAGGACTACATAGTAGTTAGTCTGGAGTTAAAAGAGAGGGTTGGGATGGAGGTTTAAATGTAGAAATCAACCTAGGTGAAGGTAGTAAATCCAGTCAAGGATATTATACACAGTGCATAGAGAAGAGAGATACGGAAAGACTTGGGGGGAGATTGAGATTTAAGGAGTTAAATGAAGGAACAAGCAAACGAGATGGGGGAGGGGGGAATCAGAGAAGTAAGAAGCACAAAATGGAAGAGGAGGGAAGAGGATGTTAGAGAGGCAGCAGTGGCTAGTGGTGTCAAATGCTTCATGTAGTCAGCTAAGATGAGGAAGTGTTTGTTAGATTGCAGAGGAAAGCCATGGTTTAGCAAGAGCAGTTGTTAGTGGCAGAATAAATTCCATAATACTAAACCCAACAGTCAATATTTAGTTTTAGATCCTCAACACAGCATTTGACCCTATGGTCTACTCCTTCTTTCCTGGAAGAGGTGACAAGCTCAGAAGGGCCAGGGAGGCAAAAAGAGAAGAGATACAGAAGGCGGCCAATGCAGGGTGGTTTATGCATAAGGCATAAAGTCAAAGGGTCAATGGCTTGAGCTCTATTTTTCTTTGTATAAAACAGACACGAGAAGTGCAAGTATGTGCTCAGGGTAGGTGGGAGTGAGAGGGGGAAGCTTGCAGATAACTATTGAAGGGCTCTGAAAAAGAACATGCTAAAGGTCACGAATTTCTAGGGTATCAATCTGCACAGTTGTAATTTGCATGATAGGGTCAGAAATTGAAGAACTTTTCTAGAAGAGGTAAACTATTAGGAAAATGGGTACTGAGCAATTTTAAAAGAATCCTACCAAATACTATGGTCTTGGTTTTCATCCAGCTATTAAGAATCGCTATGACCTTGGCCTTCATTTAATCATCTGTAGAGGGAAGGTTTGGAAGCAAAAGCTTTCCTGGCTCCCTGTCAGCTCTTGTAGAACATAGACCTATATAACTCGCTCAAAATCACACAGACATCTCAGGTTGTCTTCCCTCTCCCAAGATAACTTTATGCAAAACATAGATTGCACTAATTAATTCAACAACCCTTTAAGGTAGATGCCCTGATGATCCCATTTTAAAGATAAGAAAATTAAAGCTCAAAAAGATTAAGAAAATTACCCAAGTACATATGACTAGTAGTGGTAGAGCAAGGATTCAAACCGAGATAATCTGACTCCAGAGTAGAGATTCTCAACCACGGATCTACTATTTCCCTATAAAGATGACTCAAGATGCCAAAGAAAATGTTCAGAAGATCCTTTAAGAACTTGAGAATTTCAGCCAGTTTGGAAGTTGTTCCTCCATCCAATCCTACACTTCAAAGCTTGGTCTCGATGCAGGCCCAAGCTGAGATCTCCAGATATATTAATAATTAAGCCACAGACATTCAGTAAATGGTTTGGTCCTTTCCCTAAATTGACAAAAACCTCCTGGGCCCTCTCATCATATCTGGACTCTCATATTTGGAAGTATAATAAGGGACTCATATCTGCTTCTTTTACTCATTAAAATCTTTCCTGTTACATCTACTTCCTGGGATGTGGCTGAAATTTCCTAAATGAATGAGCTGGGTTGTATAATTCTTAGTTTCTTGGTAGATTTACCTTTCTTTGCTCCACTGCAAACCATACTGCTTCAAGGAGTGATTAAGCAAAGATGTAGGCCTTCAGAAAGCTTCCTGGGCATCATTCATGACAAAAGCAGCAGCACTCAAGCAGAGAGCTTCCCAACTCCTTGAGAACAGAGCATGCCACTGGCCAATCATTTGATCTCACTGAGTAATGTGACTCTCTGCAAATGGAATTATAAGAGTTCCAACTTTCCTTCTGTCTGGAACCTTAATCACTCCATTTTTGCCTGTAGAAAACTGTTGTATCCTTTTAGGTACATCTCAAATGCCACCATCTACATGAAGTCTCTGCAGCTATTCTAAAACAACTGAATCTTCTCTTCTGTGGAACCCCTGTCTCACTTACCGGTAAACATCCATTATGATGCTTATCACTATTTGTGTCTGTGTCTTCTTTCTATGTATGAGCAGGGTTTCACTTTCACGGAAGTGGAAGGCAGGGTTGGGACATTATCAGTCTGCAGGCCAGCTGCCAAGTTGCCTCCTAAGTTCACCTCCTACCCCTGCACACTCAGCTCGATCAGCACATTCTAGAATCTTGTCCTCAGCCTCAGAGGCCCAGAAATTCAGTTTTCTAAGTACTCCGGAACATATAGTTGCTTTCCCATGATAACTAATTTCACCAAGTCCTAAAAGGTGAGCAGATTGGCAAGTTAATTAATTAATAACAAATAATACACCGGCATGCTCAGATATTGGTATGGTCAAAATTCTACATGAATCAAAATTAGAGATAAGAAGTATTTGTTAAATTAACAAAAATAATTACTGGCATCAGCTTATGCTTCTTAAATGGATCCACTTCCACTATAGGGCCTTATCTGTTCAGGTAAGAGAAGAGCCTTCTTTGAGCAGAGTTAGGAAATTGATGTTGTCAGACTTTCTTATTTGTGCTATCTTTCTTCCATCCATGTGCTCTTTCCCCAAACAGAGGATGATACAATTGATTAAGGCTTCATTCTCTATATTATAATCTGTCTCTTTAACTACCATATCATACTGATACAGTGTCAAAAGTATTCTCAAACTCTTTGACTCTATAATCATTAACCATTTCTTGGTTTCTTCCCACAGCTGGTGTGAATCTCATCCCTTGTGTGAGGATTTTACAACTGCAACTCTCAGTGGCCATAAGTCATGGTCTGCACATTGTACGTTTCCCTAAGAGCACACAGGGTCTTGCTCCTTTTTAGGTTCATACCATAGTTTCTGGCTCCAAGTTCTCAATACATACATGAATTGACTTTAATTTGTCCATTCCACTTTTTATCTCACTCAAGAAGTAATCTTGGCAGAAATTGCACAATTTTGAAGAATGTTGGTGCCACTACTACTAAACTTGTACTAAGCTAAATAATAGCTTTAATTCATCATTTAGGTTGCTAATTAAAAAAAAATGATGACTGCCAGCATTTTCAAATCAGGAGAGAAATTGTCTTGATTGCACTGGGTAAATTATATCGTTATTGAATCATTAATTTTAAGATGGTAGTTTTCGAAGTGTGGCCCCCAGAACAGCAGCATCAGTGTCACCAGGGAACTTGCAAAGCCTTGAGCCCCTTTTCAGACTTAATGAATCTAAGAGGTCTGGGCTAGAGCTCAGCAATGTGTGGTTTAATAAGCCCTTCAAGTGATTCAGATGCAAGTTGGAGAGTTCTAATTTGTTTTAGAACCTGGCACATGGTTTCATTGGCTCTCACCTGCAGATAGGCAACCACCTTAAATCTCACACCCACCGAGCCCATTAGCAGGTCAGATGATAGGAAACCTTCAACAAGGCAGGCCCTATGATATGTCATTAGTTGATATGTGTTTAATACAGTGCTGTATGCCAGGGTCACATTAAATCAAAACAACATTTAGTGGATATTGTAAATAAAGACAGCCCTGGTTATTACATACTGGGAAGTCTCCTCAGCCAAAACAGTATTTGAATGATCAAGTCATTAGGAGCAAACCTGTTTGCCAGTTATAAATCCTAATTATTAAACTCAGAGAAGAGGGCAGAAGGCTAAATGTCACCCAAGCTTCACAAGGAAGTTAAGCATCCCACAGATGGAAGTGAGAGTCCAGTTGTGGTTGGGCCTGGGGAGGAAAGCTAAGAACACATAGTCTGGGCATCAGACCAGAAGAGGCTTGCTGACGTGTGTGTAGCTCTTCCCAGCAGTGACGGGATGATGGGAGATCGCAAACCACACCTATGAGAAAGGAGGAGAGGGAATTGCTCTGGCTCAAACGTATGTGATGCAGAGAGAACGAGAGCTGAGGATCCCAGCCAGGTGCCTGCAGTGCTTCTCAGGCGCCTTCTACTGCTCCACTGGGTGACATTTCATAGACTTCAATGGCAATAAACAACAAAAAAGAAGATCTCTTGGGACAACTGCAACCCAGGGAACTTTGCCCTATTCCTGGGGTCAACATGAAATGACTGTTTTCCCAGGATAGCCATGGTTTAAATGTTGTTCCTATATAGTTATATTATCCCTTTTCCTTTCAAAAATGGTCCAGTTTGACAATACACTGTGTGGTCACTGTGTCACTTCAGTGTCCCCACTCACTCTCCCCTACTTATTTCGATATGTCTATGTTCTTTAAATCCATCTACGTAGAGACTCTAGAGGATTCCACCACTGAGCACACCACTCTAGAGGTGTCATTCATATAAACATAATGTGAATGGTACCAGTGGAATTATTCAGTTCACAATCTGCCCTCCAGGCTGTTTCCATTTGTCCAGTCCCTGAATCTCGAAATGATCTGCTTTCCCCAGGCTGGTGAAGACTGGGGCTTTGTAAAGCCCCAATCCTGGGAATGGAATTTCAGCTGCAAAATTAATCAGAACTGAGTCCCATACCCATTTCCCCACTGCTCCTCACATTTGGCTTGTTCTATTCCTGAGCCTAGCTTTTTGATTCTAGCCCATTAATTGAAGATCATGTTGACCTTCGACATTTCTTTCCTACAAGGTACAGTCCCTGTTTTTCAGCTCCTTGCTCCAAGGGCCACCACTTGCTGTCTCATGCGTCTCTAGGAGGAATCCTAGAAAAGCAATAGAGTATAAACATGATGAACCTATGAGAGCAACTAATCCGAAGACCATTCCCTACCTTCAGGAGATCAGATATGGTCACACTTCATGATCTTGCAAAAGTTAGCTCAACTCAATTTCTCTGGTCAAACTTACCCTAGCTTAGGACCCTTTAGAAAGTCCCTGGAACAAATATGGTTACTGTCCAGGTAGCGGAACAGAGGAGCTCCAAGAAAAATTTTAGGCTCTGCAACACTTAGGAAACAGGACATCCAAATACCCCAAAAGGGCCATGGACAGCACCTTATTAGGAATGCACTCATCTTCTATGGCCTCCCCATCAAGTATGGTGCACTCCAAGGGTCGGACCCTTCTGCTTTCTCTCTCCTAAACTTGAACTCACTGCACACCTTACAGAACTGCCTCAACTTTGGCACCCTCCCCAACCTCACTGAAAACTTTTCTACCAAGATCTCCTCCTAGTTAATGAGTCAAAGGACTCTTTTCCATTTATACCACACTTTCCTTTTTTCCCCAGCTTTTTTGGCGGTAAACAACACTTATATTTATCTATTTTTATTATTTCAGTTTTTAAAATTATATACTGTATTACATACAATTGTGCGTATTCTTAGGTATGCTTAGAGGAGTATGCAACAGTCTATATCTACGACAGAGAGGACACAGAACAATTCCAACCCCTGAAGAACTCTCTTATTCTGTCCCTTTGCGTTCAGATTTTTGTTCTATCCCTAACTAATAACTGCTGACCAATTATGTATTACATTTTTTTTTACTTTTACAGAATGTCTTATAAATGGAATTATCCAATATGTAACCTTTTGAGACTAGGTCCTCTCACTTAGCACAGTGGTACTTGATCAGGGACATTTGGTGATGATGGCTGGAGACACTTGGGAGGGAAGGATGTTACTGCCATCTAGTGGAGAGAGGCTAGAGATGCTACAAAATAGGCTGCAGTGCACAGGACACCCCCATAACCAAGTCATTGCTGCTTCCAGGATGTAAAGGGGCTGATGGAATCATTATGCCAGCCAGAGGCTGGTGCTATATTGAGGGTTCAGTGTTTGTTGCTGATGCCACTAGGCTGGGGATTAGCAATCGTAGTAGCTAGGTGAGCCTTAGAGAGATGGAACTCATACTTTTGCACCCATACATTGGCTATGTCTGTCATCATGGCTACTCCATTCATGGCCCCATTATGTACACATTGACTATTCCTGCCTGTGACTGACTTAAATCTTGAGTGTGGGTTTGCCATTTCTGTCTCAGTCTGATTTGTGCTGCTATAGTGCAATACCTGAGACTGGGCAATTTATCAGGAAGATAAATCTCTTTTCTCCCAGCCCTGGAGGCTGGGAAGTCTGAGATGAAGGTACCAGAATCTGGTGAAGGCCTTCATGCTCACATAGCAGAAAGGACAAGGGCAAAGAAACTAACGGGGACCCAACGTGCCCTTTTATAATGGCATTAATTCCACTCACGAGGGTGGACTCCACATGGCCTAATCACCTCTCAAAGAAAATATATTAATAGAAACTGTCCCTAAGGAAGGCTAGATATTGGACTTAAGATACAATTCAAGATAAAGGACTTTAAATGGACAGTCTTAAATATGCTCAAAGAGCTGAAAGAAACCATAGACAAAGAACTACAGGATACCAGGAGAAAGATGTCTCACCAAATACTATCAATAAAGAGGTAGGAATTATTATGGAAAACCAAATAAAAATTCTGGAGTTGAAAAATGCCAAAACTGAAACAAAAAAAATTTGCTACAGAGGTTGACCATTATATTGGAGGAGGCAGAAGATGAGCCAGTGAATTTGAAGGTGAGATGATTGAAATGATCAAGTCTGAAGAGCAGAAAGGAAAAAAGAATGAAAAGAATTGAACAGCGACTGAAGGAAATGTGGAGCACCATCGAGTGTTCCAACTCATAGGTAATGAAACTGTCAGAAGAGGAGAGAGAGAAATAGATAGTTGTAGGGGCTGGGGCTAGAAGAAAGGATGGATGGATGGATGGATGGATGGATGGATGGATGGATGGATGGATGGAGTGTGAGGAAGGTGAATGGGGTTCAGGTGAAAACACCTGCCCAACGTTGATTGTTTGCTGTGTGCAAAGGTCAGCTGTTTCTGAAAGCAGCTGACCTGTACCGAAGTTGTTAAAAAAAAATTAGCAAACAGCCCTGACCCTTTGCACGTGTCCTTGGAAATAAATAATGGTGAGGCACTCAGCTGAGGAGGCCATTTTCTCCTTTAGATTTTGTCTTTCTCCTTCTCTCTAAGCACTATGTGTTTCCAGTAATTATTCATTCCTTCCCTACTGAGCTCAGGAGCGAAAAGCTGCCGCTACGAGCTGTGACCCCGAAGTGACTGAGGAATCGGCTCATGCAGTGAGCGCCTTTGTCGTCAGGACTACAAGGGGACTCAGCCAGGTAAGGGACAGGCCCGCCCGCCGCTTTGGGAGGGGGACCCACGTGTGTAGTTTCAGAAGCGGATTTCTAACACGGGGCAAGAGCTGACAAAAGATGAGCGAATCTATCTGCACACTTTGCAGCGACCCTTGAGAGCTGCTCAGCGTTCTGGTGAACCAAAAGCCTTCCAGCAGCTCTTCTGTGCGGCGAGGCCACATCGCCCCGGTTCCCAGATGAGGGCGCCTTAGATTTAGAACTCTGGGAATGGGTAGGGAAGATTTTTAAGAACAACTTTGGGCAGGGAGTTCCAGTGCCCCCTGTCATGTTAACTACCTGGAGCCTGGAGCGGACAGCGCTGACTCCCTTGCATGTTCCTACGAGTTCTAATCCATTGCGTCCCGCCCCTCCTCTCCTCCTCTGCCATCTGCCCCCCTAGTCTGCTGGAGGAGCCAGCATCCCCTGCCATAAAATTCCCGAATCCTGAGCCATTCTCCGCCATCACCTTCTGTGGCTCAACAGGAGGAGCAGCTTTCTCTCCCCCTTCCTTCCTTCCTCCTCCCCTTCTCCTCCCTTCTCTCCCCCTTTCTCTCCTCCCCCCCTTCTTCCTCCTTCTTCTCCCCCTTCTTCTCCTCTCCTCCCCTCCCTCTCCCTCTTGAAAGGGATCTCTCTATTCGTCCCCTGGTAAACCACCCGCTTTTTGCTTTTCGACATTGCCTGCCAGAGATCCAGTCTTCATGGGGATGAGTTTGCTAGAGCAGTGGAATCTTCTAACTACCCAGCCTTTTCATTAGGGGCCACTGCTCAGGTGCATCCAATACAACCCACACCTTTGCAATGGACCACTTAATTTGCCCATCGGGACAGAGCAGTGGCCC